ACAATACCAGTCTTAATTTAGATATGGCCAGATTAAATAGTATTACTGTATAATAATATGGTGCAACTCAATATTATCGACGTTCTATAGCTTTTCGAATCCCCTTGCATCAAGGTTTCGAACAGTGGAAGGTCTTCCACACAGATAGCATTCATATATATATATATATAAAGATTCCACGCATTTCAGCATTAACCAGAAACTGTTTTGTTGGTTTGCAAACAACCCTCTTCTCAACAATGGAAAATATATCTGGCTCACATGTCAAAATCCCGAAAGGTTTGTATAAATATGAAATACTCTAATGAAATTTGCACGAACCATTTAAAGTTGATGTAATAAACAATGCAGGGTTTGTTAAGGGAGGCAGGATTTATGGACCTGGTTTATCAAAAACGCCGGCGGCATCTCACCTATGGTCTTCTCTGCTTATCAGCGTTGCGTCTTCTTGTCCGTGAGTGTGCGGTAGTAGCTACAACCTAGTGGTGGCGACACAACGCGGCGATGAACGAGAAATGACATCACAGCCTACAGATGCTGTTGGTTGCGCAGCGTCCTACACTGAGACCACACATCGTAATTAGCATATGCTAAGTAGCTGTTAATGCTATGCGGAACACCGATAAAAGCCAGTTTTGGGGAAAACTCGGATATTTTCTATTTGTAATATTTACATAATTGCCTGTCGCCGCCTCTGCCTTAATGCAGCCAAACAAGAACAAGAAGCGTAAACACAAATGAATGGTCGTGATATCGCTGCTGAATTGGTGTTTTGTACACCGTTCCAGTAGCAATCGATAATACTTGAAAGTGGAAATGGAAACTTACTCCAATTAATTGATACGTTTAACTTGGTATCTGTTTTACCGGGTTACCCTCAGCGGTAAGATAACCTGCGTTAAACTTGAAGATGGGCAGATACTGCGACTAAAAAAAACGGAGATTGTGATTTCAATCGTCTTTGCCGAACCGATAATGTGCAATGCAGTAATCAAATATGTCAAATATAATCACCGATACAAAATAAAATTCACACTTTCCTTGAAAAAACAACAACATTTTTTGACATGATAATATTTAGTATTATTTGGATTTTTTCCCGAATATTTTCAAGGGGTATCATTAATAAACCGAACTTGAAGGAAAACACAATTGAAAAGTGACCTCCAATTGTCCTCACTTTAGTTTCCTTCCAATTTTCAAAGATCAGACACAACACATTTATCTTTCTTTTTTTCAAATTGTATTCATTTATTTATTTATTTTATTTGTATTTATTTATTTATTTATTTATTTATTTATTTATTTATTTATTTATTTATTTATTTATTTATTTATTTATTTATTTATTTATTTCCTTTGTTTCTCAGAATTTCTTGAGTATATATGTACGTTTTTCTTGCATTTTTAAAAATATTTTCCTATCCGCGTATTTTGCTTGTTTAAAAAAATATAAACAAAGTAAAACAAAACAAATTTTGTCGTATTAATAACTCTCAAATTCAAAGAAGTCTGTGGTTAAAACACGAAAAATATGCCACGTATGGCACAGCTGCGTATATAGCAAGAAAATTGGCCCATTTCGTTCAGCTTTATAGGTCCTTTTTTAACTTTCCATTCACTATCTGTCAAGCGTTCGCTGCAAAGCGCTTCAAATTTGGAGACAGCCATACACACCATTGTGGCACACATCTGACCGGCAAATTAGCAGAAAAGTCGCCTTTGTATAGCTTGTTACATTTACAAAGGCGTAGTCGGCATGTTGGCCGTGTAATTTGCCAAATGACTGCACTATCCACACACTGTAAAGAAGGATGAGTAAAGTGAGTTAATAGTTTTCTTCGACGCAATCATTATTCGAGCTGTTGTTGATTTTTAAATCTGAAACAGACCACATTTGTTCGCCTTCGCTGATTTCTTCACTTACAAGACGCTGCTTTTCCGATGACTCATTCACCCAAGTTGTAACCGAACCACTTCACATTTCTGCCCGTCTCTCCGTGTTCAGAAAACCTTACGAATTTTCAGACTTTTTCAAACAAATACTCATCTGAATGTTGTTGCGAAACAATAACAAGCCTTTAGCGTGTAACGGAACTGCATTTAGCGCAACAAAATGTTAACGGAAATTCTAGGTCTATACGAAACGTGCTGAATTATTCAGAAGCGAGAGAAAAGAACGGCATATGGGCTGCAAAGATTGTGGCATATGGATAGAATGGTATCGTGATGAGTAATTTATAAGCAGTATCCAAGTCGGATCTGGAGACACGAGGTCGTGCTTCGGCTACCCCCTCTACTCTAAATATTTACATACAGAAAACAAATACGAAAATTGCATCAATTTTCGGCGCGTCAGAAGGGGTTTATAACTAGTTCGGTCTATACAATAAAATTGTCATCATCAACAACGGCGACCGAGTTCAGATTCAACTTAAATAAGTAAAAATGCAATGGCCGTGGCGCGTATCATTTCAGATGGTTTGAAATTGTGAAACGTTATCCGAATAATTGTCCATGAGTAAAATTGACTGTTAAATTATATATGAGTCACATGTAGCTCACTTCAATGATATGATATTTTCGCTCCACTCCAAATAAACTCAGTACTTACAGGAGAAGGAGGGTCCTAGCGGACGGCTAAATAACGAACTCGACTTTTTGTACTTGGAAAGGAAATCCGAGAACAAGTATAAATTTTATTAAGATAAGAGCGATTACTTCATTAAAAACGGGATTAAGTGCGGAAAATTGGCAAACAGAACACCGCGGGTATCAAATATGCAGAGCAAGTTAACGATAGCAGGAGATAAAACATGCCAGAAATCCGAAGTCATGTCAGGAGAGAGAAAATAACATCTACCCTTGCGTTCAGTTTGGCACCACACAACTTCGAATATCTGAGATAATACGGATTAAAGTTCATGTTGTGAAACTACGCTTGGCTGGTGTCATTGAGGACAGTAAAAAAAAACAAGACTGATCACTTCCTAACATGGGACTCATCGCTTTTACTTTACCAGTAACGAGTTTCTTGCCGTAAGCACTTTTATTGGCAAGGGTGTATTTTGGCTGGTAGAAAGTGGGATGTGACGGCATATAGACCGAATTGCATGCATGATATGTAGGGGAGGCTCCTTCAAATTCTCTAACAACCATGATCATATTAAGCTCGGCCAAATAAGCTCTAATTATGGATGATTGGAATACAGGGAAAAGTGGGAGCAGTGGAGTGAAGCAAGCAGACCCCGGCAGTGATTTATTGTCGTTGCCAAGTAATCTGTTCACTTGTCGCGGCTCTGACGGTTGCATCTGCCCGCTCTGTGTCTGATTACTGCCGGTACTGGGGCGAGGGGCAAGCGATAATCGTCGAGCTTTTCCACGTAAAGGTGAGAAGCATTACAACTACATTGATATATAAGACTATTTGGTACTCGTAGTAAAGTCAGTGATGCCACCAGCAGAAAAAAAGAGCGTCACTGTCTATGCCAGCCGTATTACATTTTTAACCAGGTAATATTGGAGGAATACATTAGAAATGCTTCGCCGGGTCTAAGTGACTGCGAGTGAAAATCAGACCCTGCTTCCCTCAGATGGTGGGTCTCAGATTTGAGCTGATAACACCCGGTTAGGATTTGCACTGGCAATCTATACAAACCGTCTAGACTCGCAATCATGGAAATTTTCTCCGTTAAAAGCCACACAGTTTGCAAGTAGCAGAAGCGCTTGGTAGGGAGAGCGCAATTGAGCATTGGTATAGCAAACTTGGACACAAGGGAATTAACACTGATGCTACTGGAGCCTGTTGAAATGGCTGCTGTCGCAAACCCACCCTAGGGAACCTATAAAGCACTCCTCTCGATCAGTCAACAAAAAACGAATGGGTATAATTACCGCCAAACTCGCATTGTCTGTCATTATAGGGCCGCATAAAAATCCCCTATCTTATTTTCTTAATTTATTTTTTATTTTGCGTGTCGTTCGCGTTTAACTTAGTCAGCACCTGAGCGACTATCGGGCTCTGTAGCCACGCGACTCAGCACACCGACGCACGCAACAATTATACAGAATGAAAGGCAAGTGCATGTTCTTAGTCATCGGGAAATGGATCACACTTTGTCACGTTTAACGGAAATGAAATTAGCCTTACGAGATCAAGAGAGAGAAAAAACAATGAGAGCTTTCTTCCGACACTGCTTGCCATCCATCACGGTTTGTATTATGGACGGTCAGCGATGTGTCTTAAAAGCCACGATTAAAAAGAGAACCTATCCCCGTGTCGGCTGTAAAACCATTCAGGTGTAGAAGAAGATTCTAACAAAATGATCATACATATGCTACTGACTTGGTGTGTTAGACTCAGTGGAGACTAGCTGATCACACTGAGACAAAAAGGCATGAGAAATTTATTTATTTTACAAATGTTCCGCAATCCCCCGACAAACTTGTCCAGTCTACTGCGGAAATGTAATTGATCGCTTACAGTACTCCCCAAACGACGAAAGCGTTTTTGGATCTCCACTCGCAAACCTGTAAAATGCCAATAACATCGTCCCGCGCTGTCAAATTTTACCCCAGTGGAAAAAAAATGACGAAGTTGAAATTTGACATTCACGTGCGAGGCTCGGTAGAAATTTATAGTCAAGAAATGAGTGTAGTGAATTTGTAAAATATATGGTATTAGTAGTTCAAAGTGACAAACGTGCAGCCCAAATAAACACGTGAAGTTCATATAACATTCAAGTCCGGGGTCGGTATCAGCTACTATACACATTACACTCGCGGAGGAGTTTTATATCCCAGGTAACAACGTTGAAATTACCGATAAACAAAAAATCAATAGATCGATATCCTTGCCCATGATATTGCACGAAACACGTACGTAAACGATAAAAGCCAAGTTCATCGCCAAAAAACCTTCTGATCAGTTGCCAGTTTCGCTGATAAACTAGCAAAAGAAAAAAATGCAAACTGTAGCGATAAAGAAAGAAAATGCTTACCGCTTATCGTGGTGTGGGGAAAACTCGGTAGCTCTAACAGTGCTAGTATCTCACGACGATGTGATACGTTGTCTTTCTGCTCGATCTTCTTCTCTGATTTCACTTCCTGATTTCACCCTGTTATATATGTTGAAGAGAAAGTAACAATTTGTTCAAAACAACGCCACGAGCTGTGCATGGTCATTCCGCTGTTCTTAAGCGAATAATAGTCAAATCTGTGACAGCCATCTCCCGCGTTGTTCTTATTGAAATCAGTGAATGATGGGACATCATTTTTTTAATAAAACGCGGCGACTCTTGCGATGTCTGATTCTCATCTCTTGTATCCGTCACGAAGATACGAATAATTCTATCTGATCTTGGGCCAGTACGAAGAAAAAAGGTTTGAAATTGCGATGGACGATTTCATTGAATTCCGCATACGGTTTTTCCGGTCGGCTCAGACAATAAACGGTCGTATCGCACTGAGCGTTCTTATCTCCTATACAGCTGGTTCGAAGCCTAGAACGTTGCAGGAATCTCTCCTGCACATTTTAATAACACAGTTATAGATAATCATCATTTCAATTAAAAAAATATTCTAAAGACGTAACAGCGTTGCTTGAACCACGGAGTCGATGAGGTATGGTACAAATCACCAGTGTGTATATTTCAGCACATTTTTTTTGCGCCGATAATGAATACTTTACTTGTCGCTGCATCGTATATCATAATTCGAAGTTAAGTTTAAGCTGTAAGTATACGAGAAAGGTCAAGATTCCTCATCATTCCGGAATACTCTTATTTAATAATTATATAGATATTTAATTAATACAATGTCACACGTACACGTTGTTTCAAACAATGACGATGGAAATAGTTTTACTATATTGCAATTTCGATGGTATGACATATATTTATATATATGTATATATTTAAAATTCTAGAATGAACAGAATTATTATCACCAAATAAATATTAATATATATAATAATTAATAGTCTACAATGTTGTAAACACTACAATGAATAAAACACACAGTGCAAAATCAGCACATTGACTGTAAATACGATGTACTCAATAATTTGTTTGCTTTATATTTTCGTCTCTCTCGGGACACCGTAACAAGTCACGAGTCTTTGTTCTCTCCGGTTTTCCGTATAATCAGTATGTGTGGATTACCCTTACCCGAACTCTGGTTAAAGCGCCACAGTCAGATTTCTTGTAAATAATCAACGTATTTCAACATGCTCTGTAACGTAGCATGGGACCCACATTGAACACTGTGGCAATATTATTAACGATGTTTTTTTTCATCGCATTGTTGGCATAATTGCGCAAAAGAGCGTCAAACTTCAAGTTATCAGGCGAATGTAACTGTCCTCATAATGACGTAACACACGTGTATCCTCAAATACACACGTTGTAAATAAAAGAAAAGTTAACTGCCAAGTAGCAAGTTCTTTTCTATTCAAGTAGAGTTCCCCCTGAAACTGTTAATCATTTGTGAATTCATGTCGTGATGTGAAAAATTAACAAAAAGTTTTCCGATTCCCCGATCTATCTATCTATCCGCGGAGCGCTGATTGATAAAATGACGTGCATGAGTTGGGCAGACGCGGATGAGACGAGGATAAAAGAGTCTGCGTAACTGATTTCAGATTGCTTATCATTTCATGTCACCCTAGTGCTTCTTTAAAAGTTGTAACATGTGTCTAACGTAATAATTTGTTTAATATCTACTAAACGAAGATCAAATCGAACAAATTTACATTGAATTGCGATTGTCACGGTAACGGTTTTCCTTCCAAACTGCTTCTAAATCAATACCTCTCTTCACAATGTTTGTGCATGATCACAACTAAGGTACCACTTCACGAAATAGTCCATGTTCAAGTACCTAATTTAACTTGCGTTTTATATTCATTCTGGAAACACATATGGTATAAATAAAAAAAATAATAAATAAATAAATAAATAAATAAATAAATAAATAAATAAATAAATAAATAAATAAATAAATAAATAAATAAGTAAGTAAGTAAGTAAGTAATAAGTAAGTAAGTAAGTAAGTAAGTAAGTAAGTAAGTAATAAATAAATAAATAAATAAATAAATAAATAAATAAATAAATAAATAAATAAATAAATAAATAAATAAATAAATAAATAAATAAATAAATAAATAAATAAATTTAATTTCTAGATGGATCTAATAACATTTAGCTGGGACACATATGTTGCGTTTCGTGACGCTCAAATGAAGGGCAATGACATGACAACGAAATACTATATACAACAGGGTGTGGGGTCTTTGCCTATTTTAAGAGGCCTCCCCAGTGCCCCATGCAAAGTCAATACAATACTCAATTCGAGGAGTGCACAAAGTACCCCCACTCTAGGCTCTCTTTGCATAGAGCGTATTGTTCGTACAAGGTTCACTCTTTGTGTTAGGGCCATTGCCATGTAAACAAGGTCACGTGTCGCCATTCACGAATGTCATCCTTACAGAGAATCAAATTCAAAGAAAGGGTTAGATTGGCCCCAAATCAAGCCTTCAACATGGACACCTCAAAATGGCTTAAAAGCCAACACAAAAGTTAAAGGTCGCCATTTATCACCATTCAGACATCGCCATCTCGAGTTTATCGATACGGGTGGGGCTATAATGCGCCAGTTGCCATGGTTTCACGCAGATTGCTCGAAACTTTATAAGTAGACGTCCAACGCCACGAAAAGCGATATTTCTCGCCGATTGAGATAAATTCTCGGTGAAACAAACAAGACGGGATAAGAAGGAAAAAAACATTGATCATTTTTAAAAATCAAGAAATGTGACAGGTTACGATGATGTATTAGCTGAACAAAACGAACAATATGTTGAACCTAGATCTCGATGGCAATCTATCAGTGACAGACGTTCATTCAATTTTGTTTGTAAATTTCCACGATGTAGAAACAACTGACAACTTTAAGAATCATCAATAAATGGGACCAGATAGACGCAAATGAAACAGATCGCTTAATTAGTTGAAATTTCTGAAAATGTTTTGACATTTCGTTAATTTTGCAATGAAGAGACTGATGTGGTTGCGATGAGTAATGGCGGCGACTCCAAGTATGACACGATGATGGCGTAAACAAATTATACACATCCTAAGTGCCGGATCAATTATGTAATTAGGAAATTTACAACGACTGTGTGTTTGCATTTTTTCATTGCGAAGTCAAATCTGCAATAAAAGCCATGATATTGTCAGATCCACCACAACAGCTGCCAGTCTCAAGATGGGTAGAAGTTGATGGTAGAAAAAAAAAACACGCGAAATTTAGCAATTAAAAGATTGCTCTGAAAAAAGACAGGTCTTGATATATTTAACTGATTAAAGTTAGCAGCTCAGGATGAAATCGTAAAATCGATTAATTTAAGGGGAACTTACAGGGATCTCATTTTGTCGGTAAACCAGCGTGCGATTATATTAAAGGTTAAACCAGTCAGATTAGCCCATAAGAAGATGATTCTGATCCGTATTTCAGAAGATAACTATCTTTATGCCATTTCTTCATTGGGTTGATTTGACCAAATACGATGCCAAACAACAAGCCACAATTCGGGGCTTAGAGATTTAATATCGGATTGTTAAACATGTTACATGCAAAAGCACTCACTTGGCAAAATCATTAAAACCCTGCCAAATGATGGAAAGAACAAGTTTGGTTTTAGAAGTGTCTGCGCGACTGGTATACAGCGAATTGTGCTGCAATATCTAATGTAAGCCGAAGTGGAGCGCACGTGGCCATGGAACAATGACTGGGATAGCACCGTACTAATAAATTACAATTCATTCATTTGTACCATTTTCCATAATTGCTTAAAGCATGATATTCGTCTTGCTGTTGGTCCTACGTCAAATGTAGCAATGTTGTCGCATCCACCTAACAGAGCGTCACATTCATCACACTTAACTACACATACTGATTATATGACGTTATTTTTCTCTACAAAATTTTCATTAAAGGGCCAAAGTCCTCGAGCAGCACTGTTTAAATATCATGTAAACAAACAACGTATTTTACACGCGTCGTATCTCCGACGAACCCGACGCGGAACGACGACTGTAGCGAGCGCTTTAAATTCTGTTAGGATGAGATGGAGCAGATGATGAGCAGAGGAGGGGGTATAATATATAACATATTATATTTTAATAGATACATCCCAGGAATCAAAACATTGTTCCACGATTACCGCCTACTTAGGCTTTTAATTTGATGAACTTGGGGTACAGTGTAATATTTTTCTGTGTATTATTTACTTCTTGTGTCTAACGTGTCTGGGATTGTATCACAGTCGCCAGGACACGTGACATTAATTCCTTAGGCGGTCACTGTATTTCACGTAAATAAAGTCCTCATAACAGGACAATGTTATGGGAATATTACTTCAAATATTATGATCTAAGAGCTATTTCATCGTAAACCGTGTCATTGACGTCATTTTCTATTCAGGTATGGTTACAATTTCCGGTTTGTAACATCCTACCACAAAAGAACGTTATAGCACATTTCAGTACATCCCCGATAACGGTAATTTTGCTGAATATCACTACCGAGATCTGTCGCAGCTGGCGACGGACGGAACTATGGGTACAGCGAACAGGGTAGGAAATAATGTTACCTTGGTGTAGGTGTTCGGATCAAACCAGCAACCCTTGGAGAAATGCCTCGGTGTGGCGTTCTGAATCAGTAAACATCGCACTTTTTTTATTGCGCGCGCGTCCAACTTTATAATGCGACTCGTAAAACACATCACTTTTTACATGAATCATATTTTAGAACAAACTGACGAAGGCAACTACATTTTAGCCATTTATGTTGGCAGTATTTAACGAGATTCGTTAATATGGAAAACACAGGTTTTGCCAAAAAAAGGTCTGAGCGCTGACCTGCACGCGTTGTGTGTTTTGTCGTGAGAATACGTGTGTGTATGAGGGGGGGGGGGGTTAAAGCATAACGGTAAGATTATTAATAATATAATGGTTGGAATTGTTCAACAACTAAATAAGATGATGGATATTAAACATGCATCTAACACTCTGTGCTGTAAGTACATCAATGAAAACACCGAATAACTTGACTTTAAGGTTGGGATTCATACGAGACACACATGTGTAAATATGTATATAAGCGCAAAAAATACAAGAATATTTATGCATAATTTGATAACCTTATCTAGTATGTTTTCGATGCTGTCTATATAAATAATAAAAGCCCTGCGTATACTAAAATCGTCCTCTCTCTCGCTCTCTCTGTCAAATCGCTTGTTGCTGTGAACGACATTCGCTTATAAATGTTCCTATCGAACTGCCAATTGACGTCGGAATGGATAATAGCCAAATCGTGTTTGGAAGCGAGAGCAGCCACACGACACTTTTGCCCGATGATGAAGGCAGATGTCAAGTAGAGCGATTCATACCAACACTTCTCCTCGTTTTCAGAAAACATTGTATATTAGTGAAGGCTCTCGCGAGAAAAAAAACTAGAGAATCGGGACAAATGCAGACGCTTAGATTCCCTTGGCTGCAATTCATCTTTTGTGGCAAAGATTATACGACATACGTAGAGTTGTGTGTAACTGGGAGAGAGGTGTCAGTGACGGTTTTAAAGTGCATTTCACACTGTAGTGTTTTCCAGAGGTAATACATGTCGTTATTTAACGAGAAATGGACTGCCTTCATCGACGCTAACCGGTGGTCGGCCGATCCGGCAGCGTAATTGCAATATGAGTGGTAATGTAAAATACGACACGCAGCTACAAGTGACCTTAATCGACGGGATTTCGGCCACGAAAAAAAATCGACTCAATTTATTATCACATTTTTCAATTGAAGTCAACTTAGTGTTTACGTATCTTCGATCTGTATTTACCACATGTGAGTTGGATGAAATTGAACGGGTAAGATGAAACCGACATCAATATTCATCGTAATTGCGCCGAATAAAACAAAAAACGTGTGCAGTACTATCATCAGAGAAAACAGATTCGACGTTGCAGACGCCCTGCAAAAATGTGCACCAAAATCCGGAGAAATTTCGTGGTACATTATAAACATTATAAACAAATAGTTTTCGGTAATCGTGCGAGTATTGTGCATTACAAAGTTCTCCCCATTGCACTGCGGATCGTAAATTCACGGGAAATCTGTTTGGATTACCGTACACAATTGATCAAAAAGATTGGGCGTAGAATTGTTATTCTAAATTCAGTCTCATGCGTCCCACGTCTGGTGACTTTGTGAAAGCACTGGGATGACTTTTGACACTCAGCAAGCCCGTAATATGCGCTCCACGGCTCCCGATGACGGCAATCGCCGAACAGCTTGGGTGGTAGGAACTAGCACGGTTGATTTTTGATTCCATTACTGTACATATATACATCGTTTGTGGCTATATAGGTCTTCAGATGAAGACTGAGTGTAGCCGACACGGTCGCACATGTCACTTCATAGCGCGCAAGATCAATACCGACAAGCCCATCATGTGTGACTAAGATCTCGTTTTTCACAAGTGGCCAGGTTCCGCGCGCTGAGTGCTCCGTTAGCCGCCGCTGTATTCATGCCACCACCCTAATTAGATCACGGGCTTTAGATCACGGGCTTTTTGTAAACTAAAGCTTTTCTTTCGGACAATCGGCCTGCAAAACGACCATCCATAGTCGGTGAATAGTGGAGGAGTTCATTAGCTTTTTGCTGGCTTTGTATTGTCCGCCCTCCCCTTACCCTAATTGAGCCACTCGGCATAATGCGGAGTAATCATCGCTGTAAACTCAGCCCACTTTTTTCTTTCTCCCTACAAGAAAAGCTTTTCTGACTTTTAACTAAAACGCCAGTGAAGCTCTAAATACTGACAAATCGGTGTTAGCTGTCTCCGTTACAATACCAGTTTTGATCCTGTTCCGCGCGTGCCTAATAAGCCATTCGTGTCCAAATTACATTTCGTGTGCAAAACCAAAACCCTATTTTACTCTTGCGGATTTTTTTTAACACGTTTTTTGTAAAATCGGGTGTGTTTTGATTTGTCCCTCTGTCTGGAAAGTAAACAAAATTACTACTTCATTGTCTTTTTCATTTGCAGCACCAAATGACTTGTGGGCAACACTCTTTTCAAACACTGGTTTCATTAACTCGCAAAGCAAATAGGAGAATTTCATATAAAGTTGGTGCCATTGAAAAGTAGCGTGAAGAAGCGTAGTAGAAATCCACCAAATAGATGCGAAGAAAGAAAGACTTTTTAGTCATGTCGCGATTCCATGAAGATGGCAGGAAAATTGACTTAGCCTCAAGAGATTTTGTAGCAATTGTAGTTGACGACCAACATTAGAAACATTGAAGCGATGAATGATACCCCAGGGAAAAAAATAAATAAAACAAATGAATAAAACCAACACCCCTACCCACCCCGAATCAGGTGTATTCTTTGCTATGTGTGACAAGTGAAGAGAACGGTTACCAATACTCGGCCCTGGGAGCATTCGCTTAATGTAGTATAGAGTCTGAATAAAACTCCAGTAAAACAGAATTAAAGGCAAGTCGTAGTATTGATAGTATCAAATGACTGGGGGCTGTTCGGATCTTGAATAATTCATTCAACAGAGATGTCTTCGTGTATATCTCCAAGTCGATTCCAGAAAACACTCAGAGTATGCTCGCAATTAAATTACTTCGAACCGCAGCAAATTTCTTCAGTTTGAATGTTGTTGTGTTTTTTTTAGTCTGACTCGGAAAACGCAGCGGGGGAAAGGCGTTTTAAGTAGATCACATTATACAATAACACGGCAGTTAGATGATGTGGATCTAACTCAACAACCACCAGCCATACCACCTTCCTAACAGCCACCACATAAGCATTGTACATCTGCATATATATATATTCTGGAAATATACCACAAATTGACAATTCTAACAAATTTGGCCGGAAAGCATGAACTTTCAGCTAATCCAACAAAACTCCTCTTTCTCCCAAATGCTATAGTTTTACGATGTAACACTAAGAACTTGACAGATAATCCGGTGACTAGTAGGATATTTCAATTTGAAATTACCGTATGAATTTTAAAGAAAATAATTCCGACTTACGTTATTCGCTGCGACAAGACCAATATAACGTTGTAAAGATACTTAAGGTAGACGATGAGTAAACGTGGGGTCCACGAGAGGATATTGTCCGTGGTATCTCTAATTATGCAAACGAATTAGTAGTATCAGTGTCCCACTATTAGCTGGTGACTGCTGGATTGAGGGGTATTTGTTAGCGAGAGTCTTTTATTCCAAGGACTGCGAATAAAGAACAATTACATACTACGGGTAGCGGCACACGTCAGCACACAATAAATAAGTGTTTAGACCGTCAAGGCGACAGTGTTTTCTCTTTTGGCTATAGTGTCGCAAGGTGCATTGGGGCAAACAAACAGTGTACTTAAATGTGATTTATACCCCCAAGAAAGAGCAATACTGAAGACAGAGCGTTATTTGATAGATATAGTTATTTCCCGACCCGTTTCTTTTATTTGAACGTAACAGTGACTTTGAAGTTACCATCGTGAGTGAGGTCAAAGTTCAATAAAGACGAAAGGAAACGAGTGGGAGCAATGAGTTGGTCGCGCTAAGTTTTTAACACATATTTCTGACCAGATTGTGAGCGGCTAATCTCTCATTTGAGGTTTTAATTGTATTTGACATGGAATCTGTTTGATATTAGACTGCATGTTGTGCAAACCGAGACAGGAAGACTCGTCTAAACTCTCCCCATTGCTCGAATAAAAGACGAACATAAAACCCGTACATGTACGAGTTGTTATCTTATTTCAGTCGGTATTCCAGCGACCCACTTTTAACCCCTCTATCCCCTCATGGCAGCCCGGACTGGTACTGAATTTCACTTTTTGTTTTCAAAGTGTCAGCGGTGGAGCTTTGAAATCAGTGAGCCTCCATTGTAGTGTCTGTGAGCCAGGCGATTGTTGGCGACGCTACGTCGCGCCTCACATCTACCCACGGATTCTAGCACACACGCGGCCCGCTTTCCCCTCACAGCGTGGCGTGCTCAATACACATTTGGAGTAAAAAAAAAACTCTCTCGTCGTACTTATCGGCGACCGCATCACTTGACCAGAAAACTATCTCTCTTGTTTCACAGAGGAAAACACATAGAGGCATCGGTTTTGTACAGATGGCTAAAACTGCGTAACGGAGCATGTTATTGTTGAACAAGACATTGCAGTTTGTCGAAGTAATGCGTAACAGCGTTTTGTCATGTGTTTGAGATGCGACAGTGCCGAATGATCTATATAAATAATAATAAAACAATTCAATTATGAAAGAGGTCCTGCCATATACAGTGACCGTACACAGGAATATATTACAACACGTGATCAAATATTAAGACTCCCCAGGCTTATGCCGCTGTTTTTTGACATTAGAAATGAGAAAACTTGCCTTCAGCAATATTACAGGCGTCAACTCTTTTGGCCGAAAGATAAGCTCCACATTCCAATCCACACTAATACGAAACCCTATATCATTCTTTTTCGCCAAAGTCTGATTATCATTACCGATTATTGCTTCTCTATTTTATGTGCGAATTATTATAATTACAGCTGAGAAGCAGGCATAAATAGAACAAACGGCGATCGACGTTTTGTTTTTTCTCGAATCGAGTGAGGTTCGTTATCGGAGCACATTTCCCATTTTCTTAGTTTTATGGTAATTCCGCAGATAAATATCTGATTTATGCAAATGCAGAACACGAAGTGAATATAGATGTGCTGTTCCATGTACAACATTTTTTCGCAATAAATATAAGTTAGTGTACGAATTGCTAACTGGAATTCACGTTTAATATACATTATCACATTATGTTGTTGCATTCTTCCCCCGAACTAGAAATTCACACCTTTCTCAGTGTGTTTGGAATTACAGACGGTCGGCGGAACAACTATTGCCTGTTCTCAGTAGAGCGGAATATGGGACAAAAAGTGCTTTCCGTATTAAATGTATGCGAAATAACACGCGATAGTGATTTTGAGTAATTTTGACAAATTTCACGATAACCCGGTGGATGTTATTCAAAAGTTAATGCCATTTAATAGCAGGGTTGCGTGCATTCGTCATTGGCAAACGGGTATCCAGTACATTGTGCTCGTCGTATGGCGTGTGTGTGTGCATTCCAGCGTGTAAATCTAAGTGGATAGGTGATTTTCAAAGAAAATAAACAAGTTCCACTGTTGTGGAAGAAATCCTAGCCTGAGATCTCGGGTAGTGATCTATTCGGAGTGCGAGTGTAAGATGTTTTCAGTGAGGTCCCAGTGGGGACGGAACAAAGAATCCGAGAAATCGTTCAGGCAAGAAGCTACAATGTGGTTTATTATTTTATAGTTATAAAATACTGTTTTTTTCCGTATCGGAACCATGACGAATTCCTTTGCTGTTAATACTACACCTTTTTTTTTTGTTCAGATTGTTGAGAAAGTGCATGTTCTATATTTTGCAGTGGAGCGCCGACGGATATATACACGAGAGTTCGTTAAGGATGATTTAGTAATACCCGACAAATACTTTGTTCATACAGGGCGAAAATTATTTCGGAAGTGCGTTGTCCTACGTTTCTTCAATAGTCATATTTAAAAAAGAAAGTCAACATGATATTAGTCGCGCACACGTCACCAATAACCGTCTTCCGGTTAGAAATAACATGGTACTTTGTGGCAAATCCTTTGTTGTGCGGCAGGCCTTCATCACAATGCCAGTGCAATCATACCACAGAAACACACAATAGCATCGATTTTGTTCAATCATAAAGGAATGAAAATCATCGAAAGTATTATCGAATATAAATTAATTATTAATAGCTTTGTGCAGTGATCTGATTCGATAAAATGGCCGCTGTCATCATTTGCATATCACCAACTGCTGATGCTGCCTTATCTCAAGCTAACCTGTGTCAAGTCGTTAAAATCAGCGAAATTGGATTTGTTGCTATTTATCTTTATTCTGTTATGGTTCCACTACGGGTCGGAGTAGAGTTAGTATACAACATACTGATATTAGCGTGTTTTTTTTTAAAATACAGATTTTAAAATCGTAAAGTTGACGATGTTTATTCCCTCGGGTTTTCACCTAAAGCCAGGGACAATTCAACGGACAAAATTTTATATTCAAAAGGGGACTTATGTTATGTTTTTTTTCAGAGTATCATTAAGTACATCGAGTGTCAGCCATTACAAATAGGACTTCAACTCGGTAATCATTTCAGTCATGTACTAGTATGTATGTGTGAGATGGGGTCCCAATTATCTAAAAAAAAACATTGTTCTGAAACGAGAACCTCGGCTATTAAACTAGTCGAAATTGGCGCCAACGTATTTTCTTACTATTACGTTTATTTGTCACCATATATTTTCGTGTGTGCCCACAAAGCATAAATTTAGTTTTTTATAAATATATCACGTGACCGAAAACTCATTTTCTTCTTGTCGGAATAACGGGGTGTTGTTAGAGGAACACTTACCTGCGTTCATTACGCGGCCAGTGAGGGTCCGTGTACATAGTGCAGGCTCTTCTTGCTATGAAACACATCAAGTATTTCACGGAGGTGTTGAAGCAGAGCTAATTGCAGTAGTGGTGACTGCTTTCCTCTGTTCCTCTTCGGAACAGCTCCTTTCACTGCTAGAAGTGACTCATCGTATTTTTTAGTTCCACATGATTTACACAACACATCATTTACTTTTTAGGTTGAGCACGACCTCGCAATTTAAAAGGGCAATGGAAAATTGCAGAACAGTGACTTGTCTCTCAGTTTTTTTCACCTGGCACTTGTTATTGAAACGTCTGCATGGCGACATCTATGTGCCGAATCTTCGACATCTCCCGCGTACGCTTGACATGACAAATTGTGTAACTATCAACGGCGAGTTAAGTTTGATGTCCATCTTAACTTAGCACCGTTTTCAAGGATATGATCGATTTCCTACGAAAGATTGTGGCGTCGGTGCCCTTCATCTTCTCCATAAAACACACTTTAACATTAAATGGTCGTATACGCTGTAGGATCAGATTTACTATCACAAAATACATAACATTTTATTCTGAATACATTTTCCAGCGACGTGAATTGTTGTCAACATTATTTTTAAACTAATGGAAGAGATTGTGTGTTATAAAGTTCGTAGATTTGCACCGTCACAT